ATTTGTTTTTTTCATTTTGTAGGAAAAAGTGACAAAAAAAGAATGGTAGAATTCCATTTTTCTCCGAATTTCTTTCCCTTCTTTCCATAAATGAAAAGAGAGAGAGAGAAAAAAAAATTGACGACCTGAATTTTGAATTGCCGCAGTGTCGGCACAAACATAAAGTAATAATAAAAAAAAATCAAGGAAATGAAAAAGATAAAAATTAAATTTGACTCGCTCAAAAAATAAACAAGTAAAAACGTTTCAGTCGGTATAAACCGATTGAATTATACCCTGCACCTTTCGTTATTGTGTAGCAATTACTTGAACCTCTAAAATCATTCTATAGAAACTTCACGGACATGTCTGACCTATAATTGGACATCCGATTGCCAAGTTTCATGAATCTGACTTTATAATTTTTCCAAATAATTAAAATTAGCTTTTGGAGTTGTATGGCACGTACCTGAACCTGTCAAGCAATTCCACCAAAACTTCACGAATATATCTGATCTATAATCGGACACGCAACTGCCAAGTTTCATGAATCTAACTTTATTATTTTTCCAAATATTAAGAATAAGCCTTTAGACTTGTATGGGATCTACTCGAACCTGTTAAGCAATTCCACCAAAACTTCAGAAATATATGTGATCTATAACTCAACATACAACTGCCAAGTTTCATGAATCTGACTTTATTATTTTTCCAAATATTTAAAATAAGCTTTTTGGCAGAGTTGTATGGCAAGTACCCGAACCTGTCAAGCAATTTCACTAAAACTTCACAAATATATCTGATCTATTATCGGGCACACAACTGCCAAGTTTCATGAATCTGACTTTATTATTTTTCCAAATATGTAAAATAAGCTTTTGGAGTTTTATGGCAAGTACCTGAACCTGTCAGGCAATTCCATCAAAACTTCACAAATATATCTGATCTGTAATCGGACACACAACTGCCAAGTTTCATGAATCTGACTTTATTATTTTTCCAAATATTTAAAATAAGCTTTTAGACTTGTATGGGAGCTACTCGAACCTGTCAAGCAATCGCCCCAAAACTTTAGAAATATGTCGGACCTATAATTGGACACACGACTGCCAAGTCTCATGAATTTGACATTATTATTTTTCCAAATATTTAAAATAAGCTTTTAGACTTGTATGGGAGCTACTCGAACCTGTCGAGCAATTCCACCAAAACTTCAGAAATATATTTGACCTATAATTGGACACATGACTGCCAAGTTTCATGAATCTGACTTTATTATTTTTCCAAATATTAAGAATAAGCTTTTAGACTTGCATGGGAGCTACTCGAACCTGTCAAGCAATCGCACCAAAACTTTAGAAATATGTCGAACCTATAATTGGACACATGATTGCCAAGTTTCATCAATCTGACTTTATTATTTTTCCAAATATTTAAAATTAGCTTCTGGAGTTGTATGGCAGGTACCCGAACCTGTCAAGCAATTCCTCTAAAACTTCAGAAATACATTTGACCTATAATTGGACACATGACTGCCAAGTTTCATGAATCTGACTTTATTATTTTGCCGAATATAAAAAATTTGGTGTTGGAGTTGTATGGCAGCCACCCGAACCGGTGCAGCTATCCCATTATAATTTTTAGAGCATGTGTAGAATATAATTGGACACATGTATACAAAATTTTATATTTATACCTTTATTAGTTTTTGAAATATTTAAAATAAACTCTTTGAGTTGTATGGCAGCTACCCGAACCCGTTGTCCGAATTAGTCCAATAACAATAGGGCTCGTCCTTGGCACAAAAGAAAAAACTTGTGAAAGTTTGGTGTCGATTGCATTATTCGTTTTTGAGTTATCGTGCGATCGGACGGACGGACGGACGGACGGACGGACGGACGGACGGACAGACGGACATGTCTAAATCGACTCAGAATTTTACGCTGAGCAAGAATATATATATATGTCCATACCGCAGATGACTCCTTCAAGTAGTTACAAACTCCATACCAAAGTTAATATACCCTTCACGAAGTGCAGGGTATAAAAACTCACTCATATTTACATAATTGTAGTTTTCTTCTCTTTCTTTCCCTCTCTCACTCTCTGTCTTTCTAATGAAATTTTGTGATCGTGATCATGTTATTGTTGTTTTTATTCTGTTGTTGAACATTTTCTTTTAAATTAAATTTCCATAAAATAATTTTTTATATTAAATTTAGTTTTTTTTTTATTATTATTTTAGAAAAGAGATATTGCTTTTCTTCTTTTTATAGTTTTTTATCTTAATCAAATTAGCATAATATAAAATATAAGTTTATGCATTCATATATTGAGTTGAGTTACATTAGTATAACAAATTAGTTTTTACAAATAAACTTATATACACAATATAATTCAAGTACAACTCTTATATTAACTTAAGTGAAATTGCCTAAATTTAGGATGATATTATAGTAGAAACTGTGTAGATATTATAGTATAGTAGATATAGTCTAGATAATAATTATAGTCAAACAGTGGTGACTATGGTGAATAACTTATTTGTATTGTTTGTTAGTATTCTGCAATTTGGTCTTTATTATACATATTATATTATATTTTATCTATATTTATAACAGGATTTTTCCTTATTTATAATGAACAAAGAGTGTCTTATTTAGAGATATATAATTTAGACTATTATTGCCCTTATTTCGAATATAGTAAATTGTTGACATGATTGTAATAAATTTTGTTTATTGGGACTGGCACAAGATTGATCAATTAAATTGAGAACAATTTTTTTAAGCAACCCTGAGGCAAAAACACTCATAATATTTGAAAAATAATAAAAGAAAAATTTTAAAATTTTAAAATTATGAAGGTCTTATCTAATTTTTTATCAAAAAAAGGATAGAAATCTTATAAAAAAATTGCATATCTTTATTTCGATTAATTTATTAACAGATTGCTTTTTTTATAATAATAATTGTTGTATAACATAAATAAACAAGAATACAAGACTTCCCATAGTATGTTTACTAACCATTTTAAATAATTATTTTAGAATAATAAATAAAATTTAAAAAAATATTTAAGATATTACAAGATAAATAAAATTCTTAACACTAGCAATAAAAAAACCAAAAATTTTCAAAAAACTTCTCATATAAAATTCTGGTGTTTCTGGTAATCCCAAATTTTTCCACATTTGATCTAAATCATCAATAGTTCTTTTTGATATTGTATGATTTGGTAAGTCAACAGCTTTACGTGTAAGATATTTTAATAATAAATATGCTTGATAAAATGTAAAACCAAGTGAAAAATATAATGGTATATGCCAAAGTTCTCTTGTTAAAAATGCATAACGTAAACTTTGTGGTGTATATTCTTCTTCTTCATCTTCATTTTCATGTAATGGAGCCAATGTTGTTTCACCACCTATTGTTTGATTTCCATTTAAAGATGGTTTTAATGTTGGAAGTTTTTCACTAACAAAATTTATAATATCATAAGAATTTGGTGATATTGTATTGACTTCATCAACTCTATGAATACTTTGAATAAAATTTATTGGTTTTCGATAATTTGAACCATTTTTATAGGGAAAATTTTTATACGGTCTTTGATTAGTTTGTGATCCATGTGAATTAGAAAAATTTTCATCATTTGTAAAATATATTTTAGCAATATTTGGTTTCCATGATTTTCTCCTTGTTATCGGTATATTATACTGTTTTGCTATATACACACACACACATAAGAAAAAAACAATTGATTTTTATTTAATTAGAAAAAAAAAATATTGAAAAATTTTAGCAATTTTATTTGCAATTACTGCATAAGACGCAATAATTCATTTTATGCCATCAGTTTTCAAAGGGTTAATAAATTTTCTATAAATTCCTATGAATAATAACAAAATGCGAATTACATTTTATTTTCACACGCTATTAAAATAAAAAAAAAAAAATTTTTTAAAAACAAAGTGACTATAAAATTTTATTTAAGTAAACCAAAAAAAAAAAAAAAACAAAAATTATGTATTAATTTCGCGGTTCAAGCAAAAGTAATAATAACAACAACAGCAATTCGAAAAATCTAAAAATATTATTGAAATCAATTAATAATCATTCAAAAAACAAAAAAAAAACAAATAGAATCATAAAATAAATTTATTGAAATTATTTTTTACGATGACATCGAAAATTTTTAAAAAGAAAATTTTTCCAAAATCGTCAACACTTCACCACTTACATACCTATGTGTATGTATAAAGTGTTTTATAAAATAAAATATTTTTGATTTTTATTTTATATAAAAAAAATCAAATACAAAAATCTTTAATATTTTTCTTCATTTATTGGAAATATAATGAAAATTTGATAATTCTGTACATCACAAGTACAGAGTGAAACCATTATGGAAAGTCGGACGTAAATTCCGAAAAATTGTTCTAACTTGAAAAATTTATTTCAGGTTTACTGGAAGTAGAAAAAACCTTGTCAATTTCATGGAAACCCGAAAAAAAATTAAAATAATTTTTTGAAAATTTGAAGTTTCAGAAAAATATTTTGCCCTTTCTTAGAATTTAAAAAAAAAATTGCTTACAAAGCATCTTGCAACTAAGAGTTATTGAGCTACTCTTCCAAGATTTATTTATGGTTTTAATTTTTAATATTGTTTAGAAAATTTATTTCGGAGACATCGGAGACTTATTTTTTGTACAAAATTAAGAATAAATCGTAATCAGGGCCTGGATTGAAATTCAAACTTTATGTGCCATTTATTAAAAATTTTCCAATAAGGTTTGAAAATTAATTTTTTTTTTGGAATACAATGTTGTATTCACTCTGTCACATTAAAAAAAAAAATTCTTTATATCAAAATTGTGCGGTGGTCCCTATATTATAATTTATTCAGTTATTATTTCCAAAAACCAAAAATCAAATTGGTGGGGATATTTTTTTAATGTGTTTATCATAATATTATTTAAAATATATTTTTAATATACTCTTTTCAGAGTTAATCTTAAATTTGTTTCGGAAAGTTTAATTTCGAATAAAATCAAATTAATAATATTAATTTATAAAAAAAAATTAAAATTTAAAAGCAGAAAAATGGCTTCACGTAAATCAAATGCAAGAATTCGTGAAGCTGAAGAAAATGAAGAAACTAAAAGAAAAATTGCTGAATTAAAAGAGAGACAAAGAAAAGCTGAAGAAACTTTAAGACGTCTTGAAGAAGCTAAAGCAAAACAAGAAGAATTACGTAAAAAATCTGAACAAGTTCAAGAAGTTTTATCAGCTGAAAAAGATGTACTCGAAGAAATCGTTGAAAGAGAGAAGAAAAGTTTAAGTAAAGCTGAAGAAGAAGCTAAAATATTGGAACAAAAGAAACGTGAATTACAACAGAGATTGGCTGTAAGTATATTTTTGATATTTAAAATCTCATAATTTTTGAATGAAATAATTAATAGGTGTAGTATAATTTACATACTTGTTTAATTAATTAATAAATAAATCAATTTAATTGAATTAATTATTTAATTGATACATCAAACATTAAAATTTACAAAGTAAGAAAATTATTTTAAAAAAATTTTAGCATTAAATTAATGAATTTCTGTCAAAATAATTAACGCAATAGTAAATAAATGACAATTTCGAAATTCATTCTCAATTTTTACATAAAATTCACAATTTTATTAAAATACAACAAATATCATAATTATTAATTTATAATTCGAAATCACCTCTGTAACAAATTTAATAAATTATCTTTTTTAACCTCAAAATTTTCATTATAACCTTATTCTATTGTATGCAAATATGTATATTTTAAAATTTAATTTTAAAATATCAAATATTCCATATTATTTATTATTAAAAATTTATTTATTTTTAGAATATTGCTAATAGCACAAGAGCAAAAGATGATGAACTACAAAATTTACAATATAAAAAAAGTCATACAGAATCAAATGTCGATAAATTACAACATGATATCGATAGAATTAAAAGGCAAACAGAACAAGCTGAAGCTGAAAAAAAGAGAAGAGAAGAAGAATTACGTCGTTTAAATGAAGATGTTGGTAGACAGAGAGGTGATATTACCGATTTGAGAAGTCAAAAGAGATATAATTACTAATAAAAACCAAAAAGAGCAAAAAAAAAATATATAAAGAAAAACAAAATGCCCAGAAGAAGATCAAAAAGTAATATTTTCGGAAAATTGGAAATAGATGATAGAGAGAGAGAGAGAGGGAAGGAGAAATAAAATAAAATAATAATTTATTTATGAAATTTCAATAAAAATTAATTTAATTTTTTATTTCTTTTTTTGCATTTTAAAATAAAATTTTGTAAGAGCAATTTAAGATTAATATATTTATGTATATATACGTACATAAGTATACATATATTTTTGACATTTAAATGATATGCGGTATAAATTTTGTTTTATATTTATTTTAAATTATTGTTTTTTAATAAATAAAATATTTATTTGATATTTTTATGCTTGTATCAAATATTGTCATTGTAAAATTTTTATTAAAATTCTACATTTTATTGAAAATTTTTAAATAATTTTGAAAGATGCAAGTATGTACGGGTACAATATGTTTTTAGCAAAATAATATTGGTTTTTATTACCTAAATATTTAGTAATAATAGAAAAAAATATTTTGCAATTTCTGTTTATTGATATAGGGGCTTTTGTTTTTAAATATCTTTAAAATTAAAACGATTCATTATTACTATAAGATTCTCATTTATTAAATAATTAGTAAATGTTATACTAATGATTATAGTAAATGATATATGACCAATATTTTAGCTTTTCCCTTTACAATATTAGTGAGAATGCTAAATGATTGTCAGTTTTTATCATTCGCGATGTAATTCGAAATTAAAACATTATATAAATTAAAAGAAAGCTAAATTTTTTATAATTTACATGAAAATTATACAAACTTCTTAACTGATAAACGAAAAATTGAGTAGTTCGGGGATGAATTCGAAAAATAAAAAAGCTAAACTTTACATTGCAATATTCGCTAACTATAATTGAAAGGTGATGAATGATTCTGTAACTCTTGCTCGAATATTTTATTGCGAGTTCAACCTACACATCTCTCAAGCTTCAAACATTGTTTTAATATTTAGTACAAAGTTTCATTCATGGTATTGATTTCCTGCATAATTGATATACGAGTCTGGTCAAAATTGTTTGATTCTGAACAAAACCAATTAATACGTTCTAAATATATGGTAAAATTTTATTTTATAGAAGTTGCTTATGAAAAATTTGTGTATATATGTATTGAATTTTTTTAGTTATTTCTCTCGGGCACATGCAATAATATCGAACATTTCTTACCGCCATTAGATAATAATAGTAATGTTTAATTGAAACATTTTTTTCTTCTAAATAATAAAATCAGTTTTATTGGCACTTTATTTATACATTAAACATTATTTTGAACTTAAGACGTTGTTAATTATTAACCTCACTTATCATTCTCATGCTCCTTCGGATTATAAACCTTAAAAATAACACGAGAAAAAATTTAAGTTTAATTTTTTTTTTTTTTGAAATAAGGAATTTATATGTGTACGTGTAAGTATATAATATGTATATACTAACCTGATGTCTTGAAATTGATTTGAAATTTAAATAAAGACAATAGAAATCAAACCAGACCAGAAAATATAACGGCACATACCATATAAATCTACTAAAATAATAATAACTGAATGATTTTGATGCCCTCATCTTATTCGGATTTCTTTGTAATTTTTGACGAAATTTTAAAGGGATGTTATGTTTGTTGCTATTGTTGTTGTCATTATTATTTTTTTTTAATATTCTATTTAAATTTCTATCTATAGATTTATTTAAATTATTTGCATTAAATTTAGATGATTTTAATATATTTGTTTCTTCATTTTGTTCTGTTAAATACAAAAATGTATTTTTTAATTACTTAATATTGAAACTAGTGTATTAATTTAATATGAATAAATTCTTCATAATTACGATAATCAATTTAAAATTGTTAAGAGCTAATTTAAATATCGATTAATTAGAATTAATAACTTTGATATATCAGAATTCAATACCAGAATTATGTTGATTTAAAATTGTATATAATTTTTAATATATTTTTTGAATTTCTTAACAAAAATTACTCTGAATCTTACCTAATCTTGTATCCTTAAATTTATTCCTATTAAATCCATTTTGTGTTGGTAAATTTAAAACAAATTGTATTTCAAATAAAATATTAATGAATAAAATTCTAATAAAAAACATATTTTTTTTTAAAAAGACAACCTTAAAGTGCATAAATTTTTTATGATCTTTTCTCAATCATTAATTGTTTAAAACTGAATAATAATTTTTTTTATAAAAAACTAATAACTTTTCAATAAAATTAAAAATTTAAAATGATTTTTTATTGGGTTTCGTATAGAATTTTGTTTTAATTTAATGTTCAATTGAAAGTAGAACAAAAGTTAATTAACACTTTTACACTAATTTAATTACAAAAGCCAAATAATAAATTCAAGATTATTTCAGATTGAAAATTTGTGTTAAAAAAAATGTTTATTCTTATACTTAATAGAACAAACAATGAAGATATTTGAACATTGCGGTCAGCGATCTTTTGTATTGGTTTACCATTATTATTACATTTATTAAATTTTTTTGGGTTTGGATTGATCTTTTGTCTGCAACAACCAAAAGGTGATATTTAAAAAATTAGTTTTTTTAATTTAAAATGTTCAGATTTCAAATTTTAACTGTTTGAATACTTTAAATGCTTTTAATTTAACTAATTAAGGTATATGCTTTAAAATTATAATTAATTTTTTTTTAAAACGTTTTTTTTTATACTCTGGCCGAACACTTTTTCTTTTAATTTATAAATAAACATATTAATGTCAATTATTATTAAAAGTTGTACATTTTTATTTGAAAAATTTTCTAACTCTTTTTAAAAGGATTATTTTTTAAAAAATTTTCCTTTTTTTAACCTTTTTTTTTCTTTTTATTATATTATTTCATGAACAATTAAAAATAAAATAATTTTGTTTAAAATTTTTCAATTTAAAACAAGTTTTTTTTTTGTTATGTTTTTCTAAAAATTAATTATAAATATCATTTAGAATGTCATAAAGATTTTATTTATTAAAAAATTTCATTTGAACGTTGCCCTCCATTCTATTCTTTCTCAGACTGCTACACCAATTCGACTTATAAAATATAAATGTAAACAGATTAAATAGGTTAAAATGTTTAAATATATGCAAAAAGTACAGTGACTTACATATTTAACTTATTTATCTAATTGTATTCATATACATATACAATATATACAATTATAAATAGTATACGCCAAAATTTGGAAAAATCTTAAAAAATCTAAATTTATAGTAGTACAATTCCCATAAGAGTGAAAGAACAATTTTCTAAAGCAATTCTCATTGACATACCACAATTATTTCATATAACAAATTATTATTGCATACATTTAGGATGAAAATTAAAGAAACGTTAACATTAAAATATGTGAGACTTATGATGTATTGTGTCGATAGATACAAGTTGTCTAAAACGGCAAATATTTGGACTTTGTCAAACCACAACTCTTGTGTATAAAATTTAAGCTTCTCTTTCATAAAAATTTTATAAAATAACACACGGGCGGATGTATGCACGGCCGGCCGGATGATAGATTGAAAATAATAAGCGCTAAATGCTTCCAATCTTGTTAAAAATGTCGTAAAACGAATTTAAAACATATATATATGTATTTTCGTTATTTAAATCTTTCATAAAATTATTAAAAACGATAAAAGGCTAGATAGGATTGTGGAAGGACGTACGAGTGGGAGGGAGACTCTAACATAGCATATTGAATTCCGGTGAAATCTTATACGTATGTATACTGACCTAAAAATTTACAATAATATTATTTTTATATTTTATTTTTGTTTCCTTTTATTTTGTTTTCTAAAGGATAGATACTATGTACCTTATATGTATAACACAAATATAATTTTAAATAAGTAATTAACAGAATGCCAAGTAAATATATGAAATAAAAAGCATCCTATAGAAACGTATATTGTGTACTCCTTCAAAATGTATATATGTATACATAAATACAAGAGTACATGATGACATATGTGTGGGTGGATATGGTGGTGTTTTAAATGATAAAAAAATCCCTAATTAATAGCAATTTTTATTAAGTAAAGAGTTATTAAAGTGATTGTTGAATGTTTTTAACTTTTTATTTTTTATTTTTGTTTTAAAATGTCCTTTTACAAAAAAAAATTATTTTATTATTATTAAATTAAATGCGCATTATATTTAAAATATAACTGTATACACGTGTATCTATAATTGTACAAACCGTTATATGAGATATAACAAAAAAAAACAAGTCCTTAAGTCCTTTCCTATTTCAATTATCCGCTTCAAGATATGTAATTAAACCATTTTCGTCCTTAAATAATATACAGTAGAGCTCCTTTTTTTTTTGTTCTCGGTTTTTGGTTTTTTGTTTTGTTTTTTTTTTTAAAAGAGAGTGTGTGTATAGGTATTTTATAAAAATAAAAATGTTAAAAAAATATTAAAATGTTTTCTATATTCTTTTATGTTTTCTTGTTCTTATTGTTTTTTTTTTATGTATGTTTAGTAACCCTTAAGGTTTAATTTGCAGATAATAAAAAAATTTGTTTTGCTTCTTGTTTTCTTATTTTGCTGTTAATTTTATTTTTAATACTTCACCTTTATTTAAAAAAAAAATGTTTTTTTTTTTTTTGGAAAATTACACGAAAATAAAAATATAAAAAATTTGAAGTATGAAAAATATTTGCATAGGGTTGCCACATTATATTAGAATATAAATGCCTGTAATTTTGGTGTATAAATGTGCATTAAAACTGTGATTAATTTTACTGTGATCTCATCAGTGTAAAAACAAGATAATATTCAAACAGTTGCTTCCAATGTTGACAGCAAGGTAGTACTATATAAACTAGATTCGAGTAAATTTAAGGCGAGCAATTTTAGTTTGGTACTTGAAAAATTCTAAAAAAAAATAGTTAGAACTAAGTTTAAAGAGTTTAGACCAATATTTTTATTCAACTATTCGACATTTTACTAGAAATATGTGAGTAATTTTAGTAAGTTTTTATTAAAATTAACGTTGATAGTCTTGTAATTATCTGGATTTCCTGATTAATTATGAAAAATGGAAAAATTTGTAATGATTAATTTTGTGTTAAAACGACTTCTGTAAGTAGTTTTGCTTTATTCACATACCCTACTGTGCAAAGGGCGTTGAAACTACAACTATAAACTACAGATGACGACCTGTATTTTTAAACTTTATTAGTCATAAATAAAAATTAAATTTAATTA